AGCATCAACCACATCTGAGCCCCAGTAAAGCTCTCCTGTAAGTGAACTATTGGACGTAACAAGAGAGGAGAAACTGAGGAGAGGGGGAGACAGATTAAACGCCGAGAACTTTAACATAATAATCTATTTTAAAGCTATGTAGATAAGTTTCAAGTGAGGAAATATCGAGTAAATCTTTGATTATTTAATAAAATTAATGATCACGAAGAACGAAGGTCGCAGAAACGTAAGTTTTATTTACAATCTTATTTGCCTACATTACACAGTCTTTGACTGCAAGATTACACACATGGAGTCAAAATTTTCCATCGATAATGAATGCCTAGCTGATCTTTTTAAACTGCAACCCTTTTGATCCCATTAAAAAGTACCCCCGTGGCTCGGGAGGAGGTAGTAGGGAGGGACAACCCCCGTGGGATTCTTCCTCATTAGTGTCACAGGAAAATGACTCCTCTGGCCTGGCTCGGAAGAGGTTAGGAGGGAGGAAAAATGCGTGGGATTCTTCTCTCAGTGGTTTTATCTGGAGACGGGAAAAATTTGCGAGAGATTTCAGGTCAGAAATCTGTAACATCTATTCATGTTCAGGCATTCAAGGCGTAATTGCTAAAAAGGGACACCTGACCAGTGGGGTTCTCTCGTTGTTTAACTACGAGAATATCAATAGCAGCCGTTAGAAGTGTCGAGGGCGAAGGCTTTTAACAATTTCTTTCACCTTTGATGGTAAAGATCGAAAAATGCAGCGTAGCAAGAATGAAGTCTTGTCGAAGGCTTTGACGAGAGCCGAACTTTCCTCGAAGAAGAAAGCGAAAAAGGTGAAAAGAAGTGCTGATTTAAAAATTAGCATAGGAAAAACACCGAAAAACCATGAAGAGTTCCTCAGAGACAGAAACACTCAGTATAGAGACTATTTACAAAAACATACTATTTTTTCTATTTTTTTTTAAAGTTGTTTTAAGTGAAACGATTATATTTGTCATCCTAAAATAATTTAGATGCACCTAAACCTTTTGTAACTTCTGTTTTTACAATGATATTAAAGGCTACAGAAGTCAATATTTTTATGATAACTTGTGATTCCTATCCAAAGCATTTTGCAAAACAAGAAGGAAAACTTCGAATCTGAACATTTTTATCTTAAAACTTATCGTTGAGTACTTATCCACGTAAGTAAATTCTGTTACAAACAGCCTATATTACAGTTAAGCTGTTGTTGAGTTCTCTCAAGTAAAAATTTTTACATCGTAGAGCGCTCTTCGATTGAGTGCCAGGAAGAAGCGAGCGGTGCGGCCAAGTCGCGATTGGTTTTAATTTTGAATCTGATTGATTTAGACAGTGGTGCATGTTTTCTGGACCCAATTCAGGGCGAAATAAAGCGAAACCAAAGCAAACGTGGACTACACTTGACGCTTATTCGAAAATTGCTCCAAGGTGCTATTCGTTGGACAACTATCAGATTACAACAATATGAAGCTTCTCAATCAGAAAGTTAGACAATAATTTTAGTTAGTTATATCGTTAACAATTTCACAAAAAGGATCAACAATTTTTTTCACTTTTTTATTGAATGTACAATTGTAAAGAATACTTTCTTAATGAAAAATGTTCAATTTTAGATCAATGTTATGATTAATTGATATCTTTTTTTTTAATTACAATACCAAACACTGGAAATGTAATGGCGTAGTAATTTGTGCGCTACTCAATTTATTTTTTTAGCGTTATGTAAAGAATTTTAAAGTCACTTTTAGTATAATATCGATAAATATTGCGACTATATTTCGAACAATGACTCAGAGTGGACGTTTTCTCTCCACCAGTAATTTGTATATAGCAGTGGCAGGTTAAATTTAAAGCTAAAATAAATACAGTGTTCTTAATTCAAATAATTCTTAGTACAGTCTTGAAATTCCATTTCTCCCTACTGCCGTCCCGTCGTCCCTTTGTTGTGTGCTTAAATGATTCTTTCTCATCTCCCTCGCGCCTTTTAGGACCAACGACGACTGGGTACGAATCGCATCTTTACATAAATAAATTCGTCCGAGACCCACGTAAAGTTCGTTAGTTCTTTAACTTGAGAAGAATACAGCTGCAATTTGTTTGTGGTTAAACAGTTAAATTCCAAATGGCACTATCCTGGAATGTTTGGAGCGTAATAGTTAAAAGAGGTTTCGTGACTATGGATGTTGTTCCTCGTCACATGTTCGAACCGAATTTGGCATATTATTGCTCTGGGTACAAGAATCAGTTTGACCAATCGTGAACGAGATGAGATAAACGCGCGCAAAGAATGCTGCAAGGAGGAAAGGCTTGCTATCATTTTGCACGCGCAAGAGTCGTTGAGTTCTTGTCATCTGTGACATCATTTTGTATTTCAACAGCATATAGCAGTGCAGAATTGTAAGTAAACATTTGATCAAGTTGCCATTCGTTTAAAACCTGTTTTAACCGCCGAAATGGAAGAAAATAAACCAGAGAAGAAGAGGTAAGCTGTAACTCTATTGTTTACTTCCTCAGAAGCTATGGAGCGAAAAATTAATGCAGTTTCACAAATTTTCTTTCCTTTCTTGCAAGGACAAAGCGAAGAAATGCAAGGCTACCTTCGGAAGAAAAAGATGTCAGAGTAAGTGCAGTGAAAGTTGGCAATAATTTTTTCACGTTTTTTTTTGTTGAAATGTCAACAATGGTCTTCAACAAACCTGTTGCTTCCCTCTTCAATTTTAGGGATCAAGGGCGAAGATAGAACGAGTCTGCGCTCCAGCTGACTACAAGATAATGGAAGGTATAGCGATGAATCTGTAGCTATAAATTCGACAAAAAGTTAAAGTTCAGCTGTTAGTTTGTCTAAATAATCATCTCTAACGAGGAGTTTCAACGACGCTCGGTCACCGGCTACGCAACGCTGCCTATAAGACCCCTTGTGTCACAGAATCACTGAGGAAAAAAATCGGACCAAACTATTGTTAATTTCGGTTCAGCAACACCAGTTATCTTTGGGCCAAATTATTGCCCGTTGTTCTTGAAAATTACAAAATTTTTATTTCCGTTTTATTCTCAACTGTCTACTAAGGCAAGATTACGCAGATTTTCAGCGTGGTTAGCAGTAAACAGACGCCTCTCCGGCAACCTAAGGAAAACGAATAATATCACATAAAGGAAAAGCAATGTTGCATATCTTGTGGTTTTCAATCAAATACAACGCCGTTTTTCGTCAACACCTTGGCTGTTTGCCGAAGGCAATAGAGCATGGTGAAATAAAAATAGTTTTTGTGCTTATTTACAGTTAGTGAGCGTTAGACAAATTCGTAGCGAAATATTTGTTTTACAAAGCTTATCGAAATGGTTGTTAAATCTGTTAATCAGTTGAAGAATTTTAAGTTTAACTGCCTTTACATTCCCGTTTGAGCAAAAATTTTGGGCGCGCGTACCCTCTAGGGCATGTTACGCGACAGCCCGTTCAGAATCACTGCAAATTTTCTCCACAACGATGTTGCGTTAGTGCTGTTACATTAGTGTGTTAGATTAACATCTTCTCAAATTGAGCAGAACTTATAGAAGACCCGGTGAGCGAAGAAAATGAGCGAAGAAGGAGGGCTTTTGAAAAGTGGACTGAGGAGTCACACGAAGAGTTTGCAAATGGGTAAATATCTACCGACTACGAACATATATTACTGACTTTGAAAGAATGCTCAGAAACACGGAACAAAGAAATAATCTAAGTTCCCTATATGAGGATCCCGACCCTTGACCCTTACGTAAGCTAAGCCTTACGCTATTTTTATAAACAAAAAGTGTCCAGCGTGGTGTTACGATCAGCTTCGTCAAAAGTTAAACGCGGTTTAAGGAGAAACCTACAGTTTAGGTGTCTATTAATCGCGTGGAAAGCGTGAGGTGAGAACTTGGAGAGGGCGAGGGGAGAGTCACGCGCTAACGAAGTAGCCTCCTTCCGCATAAAGAATGCAAACAGAAAAACAAACTGACAAACAAATGACATATGTTGCATAAGTCATCTTTGTAGTCGAGATTTCAAGGGTCTGGAAGATAGTAAATGAGTATGACAAAACGCGTTGCTATTTTTTCTTTTTTAAATAATACTGTTTCACCATAACAGAGTTGATATTTTAAAAATAGTTATCTCATTTATTCGCAGATTGGCTGTACATGGAAAGAAATTCCGCAAAGTGGCTGACCATCTTCCAGAAATGGTATGTATGGCCCTGTAAAAGTTATTAACCTGAATCCGTTCGTGCTAATCGTCAAACAATGATATAAAATATTTCCAAAGAATTCAGTAATTTGAGATTGCCCAAGATTCAAACGCTAGCTTTGGCCAAACTTTTCTTGGTGAGAAATTTATCTTTCCGTGAGGAATCTAAAATTAACCTGAGACTTCAGTTGTTGGAATTGCTTAGAATGTGTGAAAAAAAGGTTTGATTGGAAAGGGATTCTTTTCTTAGTTTGCATTAGAGTCCTACGTCTAGATAACAATTAAGAATAACATTTTGAAACGCATTTCGGTTCTTAGCCGTTTTTTAATGAGTTCCTCGCCCCAATCTCAGATAAACCTCTCCCTCTGCCATGAAAGGTCTGGGTACGAGACTTCCCCCACCCTTGTCCTAAAGCCCGTTGGAGCGTTTACCATACTATTTGATACCGAGTGTCCTTCGGTTGTTTTTCAGACTGTAGCAGACTGTGTAGAACATTACTACATGACCAAGCCCTTTGACTTCAATTTTGAGGAGGTGAGTAGAACGTTAACGTGGCGACTTAGGGCACACAACGGCCAATCAGATCAAAGGTAGACATGACAAGAAGCCAATGAGAATTCAATGAGTAAAAAGAACTAAAGTTAGCCGACCTCAAGCGCGGGAAAATGCAAGAGACTACGCCACGATTGATCTATGTTTGTATCTAATTGGTTCAAGAGATGGCACGAGTTTTCCAGACCAATCACAGAGCGTGGTGACACAAAATCTGGGCAATTCCTGATCACTTCCGGTGGCAAAAATAGATGGTTGCATAAATATATGAATAAACAAATAAATGTTTAAATTGTTATTTAATCAAATTGACCGTGCAGAAAAGTATTTAACTGGATATTCATTTATCTCACTTTCTGTTGCTTTACAATCAACAGTGGCAGGCTAATGAAAAAGCCAAAGACGACGGTTTAGAGCCTTCATCAATAGAGTGCAAAGGGAGCTCTTCCGAAGGGGCTGAAGCATCAACTACATCTGAGCCTCAGTCGAGCTCTCCTGTAAGTGAACTATCGGACGCAATAAGAGAGGAGAAACTGAAAATTTCTGAGAAGACAGATTAAATACCGATGACTGATACAAACTTTCAAATGGTAATCTGTTTTTAAGCTATGTCGATAAGTTTAAAGCGAGGAAATATCAAATAAACCTTTGCTTATCTAATAAAATCATGAATGATCAGGAAGAAGGAAGGTCGCAGAAAGTTAGCGTTATGTACAATCTTATTTGGCTACATTGAGCCGCCTTCAACTAAAAGATTACACACATGGAGTCAAAATTTTCGATCGATAGTGAATACCTAGCCTAGTGATCTTTTCAAATTACAACCCTTTTGATCTTGTTGAAAAGTACCCCTGTGGCTCGGGAGGGGGGTAGCAAGGGGGAAAACCCCGGTAGGATTCTTCCCACATAATCATTAGTGTCACCGGAAAAAGACTCCACTGGCCTAGCTTTGGAGCGGGAATAGCATGGAGGGAAAAACTTCGTTGGATTTTTCCCTCATTGGTTTTATTTGGAGAAGAGAAACTTTAGCGAGAGATTTAAGGCCAGAAATCTGTAACATCTATCCATGTCCAGGCATTCTACGCAATATTGCTAAAACGGGACACCTAAAACGAAACTACATCGTAATCTGATGCAATGTTGCCCAGTTCCCCCTCGTCCAAACATGTACCGCCTTGCAGGTTTCACCAATTCCTTGAAGTTGCCAGTTTGCATCAGATCAGTGAGGTTTTTTCGTTGTTTAATTACAAGAATGTCAATAGCAGCCGTTAGAAGTGTCGAGGGCGAAGACTATTTAACAATTTCTTTCACCTTTGATGGTAAAGATCGAAAAATGCAGCGCAGCAAGAATGAAGTCCTGTCGAAGGCTTTGACGAGAATCGAACTTTCCTCGAAGAAGAAAGCGAAAAAGGTGAAAAGGAGTGCTGATTACAACGAAATCGGCGGCAGTTTAGAAGGAAATACGACTCTCTGGTTCAATGGTCAACCAGTCGACTCGAGTCTTACCAATGAAGCCGCTTGGAAGGATGGAGCAATATTGAAGATCGGATCAGAAGCTTTCACTGTGGAGATAAATCCTCCGACGGTCACTTCTCTCATTCTCCCCACTAATATGATGTCAGGATTCCCTGTAATGCCTTCTCTTCGAATAGAATTTGGCGACAAACAGTTTTGTCGCTATAAATGGTTTAAATCCTCAAATCATAGTGACGAACAGGCAAGTTCAGTACCAGCTTCCTCACAAGAAGTCTTGAGCTGGGAGGAAGTTGGGAATGACTTCTTGTACACTCCTTCTGTACTTGATGTTGGATGTTATCTCAAACTAGCTTGTGCACCAGGAAATGCTGAGAAAATCAGTAGCATCACATCCGAAGCAACAACTTCTGTAACAGTTGCTGCAGGCCCAGGAACATGCCCCTTTGATGCCAGACACATGTACACTAAAAAGAAAACTGCTGACTCCAGCACATTTAGGGTTGTGTCATATAACATCCTAGCAGAGGCATATTCCAAGGAAGAGTTTGCGCAGAAGATTCTGTTCCCATATTGTCCACCATATGCTTTGGACATTAATTATCGTCAGCAGTTACTGCTTAAGGAAATTCCTGGCTACAATGCAGACCTTATTTGCCTTCAAGAATGTGGATCGAAATTGTTTGAACATAATTTAAAACCTGCTCTTGAAACAATGGGGTTTAGAGGTCTTTTACGATGTAAAGCTGGAGAGGTTCCAGAAGGAGAAGCCACATTCTTCAGAGATAGCAAGTTTGCTTTGATAAGTCAGCATGACATTGTTTTAAATGAAGCCCTCCTCAATGATCCTGCTCAAGCAGTAGTCTTAGATCATGTCTCAGCCATTCCAATTTTACGCGAAACTTTGCAGAAGAGGAATGCAGTGGTTCAAGTTTCAATACTCAAAGTTTTGGGTATTGACAATCAATATCTCTGTGTAGCTAACACACATCTTTACTATAAACCAACTTACCCTCATATAAGGTTGCTTCAGGGTGCAATTATTTTAAATCACTTGCAGGAAGTCATTTCACAGTTCACTTCTAACAGCATGAGCAGCAATTCCAATAAGCAAGAGATTCCAATGAATACCACCAATACAGCCAATTGTGAGTCTCTCCAGGTAACTAAAGATGGAATGCATGATCAGCCACAGATTGCTGTGGTATTCTGTGGTGATTTCAACAGTCTGCCAAGAAGCGGATTGGTTGAACTTCTCACAACCAGTCATATTGATTCTTTGCATCGAGACTGGACAGTATGTGAGGATAAGGAAGAACATTGCACAACCTTAAATATCAGCCATGATTTTAATCTTTTGTCAGCATGCAGTTTTCCACCATTTACAAACTACACCGGTGGTTTTAAAGGAACATTAGATTATATTTTTGCTGATGGAAAGTACCTTGAAGTGGAATCAGTTCTTCCCTTGCCAAGTGAGGAGGAACTATCATCGCATTTGGCATTGCCTTCTGTTGTCATGCCGTCAGATCATGTGGCTTTGGTCTGTGATCTTAAGTGGAAGTTGTGAATGCAAGCCATTAATATTTGGACAGCTTAATGAATAAGTCCTTTAAAAAATCCATTGTTTTTTGAGAATTTTTAAGCTAATTTATTCCTAATAATTATTCATTATGAACATTCGGCTATCTGAAACTTGGATTGTTCTGACAAAGGGGTAGATTATGCTTAAAGTACAAAGTACAAAGCTGAATTTTCAGCCATCTCAACTCTCTGGTATTACAACAACATCTCTTATATTTCTTAACCCTCTGGTATTATAACAACATCTATTATACAACTCTCTGGTATCATATTTGTTTTTATTACTTTTGGCAGTTTGAGGTGGTTTTTTCTTTTTCCAAATTTTTTACGTAGTATTGGATGCAACACAAAACACTAGCCTGCAAAATAGCAAAGGCTAGGCAGGTGGTGAGAGAAATTGTTCACTTTACAAAATAACTCTAGCAGTGGGTATTGCTTATAAAAGCCATGTGAGTTAGCAGATGTTGTAAATATGTAAGCTCATGAATAACTTATGAATTAACAAGGTTTTATTTCACGCACTATAAAAAGTAGAACCACATTATGCCTTTATGAGAAATGTGCATATTTCACTTATTATATGATAATGAATGTTAAATCACTTGATGCTACTCAGAGTATAGAAGCACAAACTCAAAGATGGAATGAAGATTGTAGTATTTATTCAGCTTATTGTACTGCGAGTCTATACAGGAACATGCAAGACATGTAATTGGTGAGGATCAATTCCTTAAGTCGCAAATAACCATTCAGGTCTTCTTCCTGTTAGAGGTTTGTCCTTGTACTTGCAAGATCTGAATGGTAATATCTCGATGAAGCTGCTTATCATTACCTTAGTGAAATATGGCATTTAGTGTTGTAGAAAGATTGCATTCTCTGGCTCCAAGTATTTGTTTTATTGGTAATTAAATGATGTGACAGGAGGAATTAATGTGATGTTACCTTAAAATAGATATTTTTGTTAAAAAAAGAGATCCCATGACAAAAAGTATATTTGAAGTAGCCTGTGTAATATTTTTGTCATCATCATCATTTATTTGCCTTTTCAACCCTTTAACTCCCAAGATTTCATGAGTAATTCTCCTTTCTGTCTGCCCTACAATTTATGAGGTTAGTTTGGAGAATTTGGAATTGGATCAACCAATAATCCCCTTATCGATATTTTTCTTTATTCTGGTTACTTGTCTGCTTGATATCTTACTGATAATGCGAGGAGAAATTCTGTCTAGGTCACTAGCAAGACACAAAGGGTTAATAGGACAAAAAAAATTTGTACAGCTTTACAATTTATATCAAAGATGTAAGGCTAAAAAAAATTACAGCGGGGCACACAATTTATGTAGAAAAAAAATCCATATCTTCACTAAGTAGGATGTAAATGACATATTTTACCATCCAAAATTTTCTTTGTGAGCTGCTTGTAAGAAAAATGACACAAAATGATTTTAACCCCAAGTTGTTCCATGGGGAAACTCTCTCGTCACTGAGAAATATTAAACTCGTGTTTCTATGTAGTATCCTGTTCATTGTCAAGATTATTGCTAGGTAATTGGCTGCAGTGAACAACTTTTTGAATTAATAACACCTGAAAATAATATTTCCTCTGCTCTGTACAAAGTCCATCTCTGGATGAAATTGTTTGTAAAACCCATATGGTTTTGTAGACAGCCCCAATCACTAACGTGCTTTCAAAAAGAAGACTTTGACCCTATGATAATTAGTGTTAATCATTATGAAACTTAGCGTATTCTCAGGCAAACAAGGACAGGAGCTTAGTGATATTGGATCAGTTCCACTTCAAATTCTCTAAACTAGCAAGTGAGGAAGCATATAAAGCACTCACTCAGGAGAATTGCTTCTTAGATCTTGACCAAGGGTTCAAGCTAAGCCCCAAAAATTAAAGTGACATGGCTTAAAAATTAATTTAGGAGTTTTTGTATTTAATTATGTTATCCCCTGTTCCATATGTTGAATATAAAATAATGTATATCTGACCTATTTCTAAATCACACCTGATCTTTGACTTAACATCAAAAAATGCTTTGGATACACATTTCTTTTGTGGTTTTAAACAGACAATACTTATTTCTTTGACATCTGTCTATGTCTGTTGATTACACAATGTCAGGAAACCAGTATGAGGAAATCAATTTACGAAATGATGTTTTACACATGTTATTCATATCGATCTCTTTCACTCCCACTATCTTAGTTTCCATTTATCTGACGAGTTGTCATCTTTATATCAAATAAAATATTTAACTACTTTTAATTTGAGAACTGAGAAGTTGGTTGAAAATAACAATGTTCCCTTGTAAAGGTTTTTTTTCCCTCAAGAAGAAATTACCTATTTTAATGGTCACCTGTAAGGTACTGTAAGACTTATAAATATGTGTAACTGACGAAAAAAGTAGTGATCAATCTGGTGAAGTCACAGCTTTAAAAAGAAATATATTGTACCTTGAAGACATAACAACATATTTTCTTTTGTCGACAATTTCCTCCTTGGACACATTTTTCCAATCGTTCTATAGTGTGAAGTTGTTGTTTTGCCAAGAATGCGCTATTGCTTCCATAATAAACTTAGGACCTTTTTAACTTGTCAATATCCGGCTCAAAACTTTGACATAAGAGGAACAAATAGGAAAACTTCAATAATAAATAAACGTTTGAGACACGCACAGCAACTTCATGCCCGATCATGTTGTTGTTTTGCTTCTGACCGAGCACGTGGTTCTAGGCATGTGACC